CATGACTTCATATGTATAATGGGTGTCATATTGCTTGCCTTCTCAATGGGTAGGGGAGGAACTGGAGGGAGGAAGAGACTTTGGAACTCAAAATTTTAAAATGTCCCTTGCCTTGACCATAGGTTTTTCTTACTACCAACAGGGTCATAGAATCACCTTTCTAGAAGTAGCAATGATAGCAGAGGCTATCTTATTATCCTCAGATTAAAAAAATAGATAAGGAAACAAGGCAAAAGTCAATTGCCCATCATCTCATAGGTAGTAATCTTTTGAAATGTGATGAACTCAGATCCTCTCAACTCTAGAGTCATTGTTCCTTCTGGCTGCTTTTTTCCTCTTCCTGGCTCCCCCAAACCTAATTCAGGGAAATGGAATGGAGATTTCCACTTACAGTGGACGAGACAGGCAGCAGCAATCAAAAGAAAGGAAGCAAGGGGGAAAAAGGGTGCAGCCATTGAACTGGTATTCTCTGCACAAACCCATTCTGACACTGAACAGATGTTAGTTCAAAGAGACTTGGGATAGCTTCATTAACAGATGATTCTAAACTCCAGGAAAACTCTAATGCTTATTTGTTTCCCTTCTCAGATGGCATCTCCTATATGCTGCCTTATCACACATTTTAGTCGTAAAGGTTATTTCCCTGAAAAGTGTTATAGACGCATTTCAGTGATAGCTTTTTACACAAAAGACCCGCATTTTGCACACTCATTATACTCATCCCAATAGGCTTCAAAACAGTTTAATTAAGCCCAAAGTAATAGTATTAATTGTGCTAATATTTAAGTAGCACCGTTACCTCTTTGTCATTATTGCCAATTAACTAATCTAAAGTCACACATGATTTATCTATACCATTAATGCAAAAGGCACAAAGTTTATGTACAGAAACAATTTAGAAAATGACAGATGAGCCTGGGTCCTGGGTTTGTCACATAATTCAATTTTCTTTTAATTTTATGTTTTTCTTGGTAGAAAGATTTGCAAAACTTAAAATGCTAGGTAAATGTCACATGTTATTATAAAGCTGAAAAAGGGCATAAAGCTAAAATTATTATTAAGTTTGGAAAACAATAAAAAGTAATACCCCATTTTATTTTATTTTATTTTCCAGTTGGATAGCCTAGGCCTAGAAAAGTTCCTTAATAAATAGCTTTTGCAGTACTTTCACTACTAAATAGATTTTGAAATTGATGGGGGGACCTAGATTTGGAGGTTTTTTTGTTGGTTTTTAGTGGGTAAGGAACAGTTTTTAATACACTGTGTTCTCCATTTTAAAGATATGGAACTGACAATAGGAAGGGTAAAGTAACTTAGATCATAGATTTCAGATCTGAAAGGACCCTTAGAGAACATCTAACAACACCATTTTACAAAGAAGAAAATGAATACCCAGAGAAAAGACATGATTTGCTGTTTTTCATTCCTTCCCTCTTGAACTGCCAAGTGTATAGTTTGTATTTTCTTACCTTTATTGAGCTGTAGTCTAACAGTAGAATGCCCTCTCTGAGGCAGGGGCCATTTCTTTCTTATCTTTCTATTCCTGGCAGGGCCTGGCAGAAGCATTGTGGTACAGTGGAAAAGAGTACTGGGTAGTTCTTAAACAGCCCAATATCAGATGATGATAATAATGATGGTGTTAATAACAACAAGAGAAGGAGGAAGAGGAGGAGGAGAAGAAGAGAAGGTGAAAGAAAAGGGGAAGAAAGAGAAGAAGGAGGAGAAGAAGGAGGAGGAGAAGGAGGGAGGAGGGGGAGGAGTAGAGGAAAAGGAGAAGGAGAAGGGAAGGGGAAGAAGGAAGAGGAGGAGAAGAAGAAGAAAAGAAGAAGAAAAGAAGAAGACGAAGAAGACGAAGAACAAGAAATCTCATTTGATCTCTCACTACTCTGAGAAGTAGATGCCATTGTAATTGCCATTTTACAGACAAAGTAACTGAAGCTAAGAGAATTTAAGTGACTTGCCCAGGGTCACACAGCTAATAAGCACCTAAGGCAGGATCTGAATTGGGGTCTTTCTGATTCAAGTCCAGTGTTCTATGCACTGTTGAACAAGTAACAAAGAACTTAAAGGGGGGAACTAGTCTCAACAGAGTTAGAGATGAATTCCATCAAACATTTAAAGAGCAGTTAACAACAAATTATTATAAAAAGTTGAGAAAGAAAATATTCTACCAAACTCTATGAAACAAATACTATCCCAATACCAGGAAGAGATGGATAAAGCAAGGAAAGAAGACTACTAGTTGACTGATAGTCATTGAAAACATTCACTTGTGCTAAAACAAACAAACAAACAAAAACAAACAAAAAAAAACCTTATTAATCTTTGATACATAAGGGCCATTTTTATGAGATAAAAAGAATACATCTAAAACCCAAAGCTAACATAATTTATCAATGACAACACTAGAAGCTTTCTCAATACATACAGAAGCAGTGCCAGGCTGCCTCCCCTGCTGTTATTGTTCAAAGTTCTAGAAATGCTACTAATAACAATAAGAAGAGAGATAAATTAAAGACATAACCATTGGCAAAAAAGAGACAAAATCAGTCATACTTGTAGAATAAATGAAGATATACTTAGAAAATCCCAAAGAATCATCAAATCAATTAATGAGATAATTAATAACCTAGTAGTATGATAAGGTGAGAAGTCACTTAATCTCTCACTAATTAATTTCCTCACCTTGGAATGGGGATAATACGTGCAGTTTTTACTTCACAGGGTTTTTATAAAGCTCAAGTGAGATAATACATGGAAAACATTTTGTGAACTTTAAGCCATTCTCTAAGCCTCACTGGACTCTGGTCATTTTCTTGTTATCAGACATGAAGCTGCACCCTCTTGACTTCCAGAAGAAGCAGTTAGTTCTTACTCTCAAAGAGCTTTCTCTAGTGAGGGAAATAATGCATACAGAGAAGAAAGGGACGGGGGACAGAGTTTTGGTTTGGGCAATCACAGGGATTCTGAACAGAGCCAAAGGGCAGTCAACTGTTTTGCCCTTTGGCACCAATGATGGTACTGATATTGTAAGTGCCAGACCAAAAAGAGGGAAAAAGAGGGCAGGAGGAGGGAAACAAGGTATGGTCAGGCAACAGAACATATAGTAAGATGCTTGAGTAGGGCTGGCTTCCTGGTGGATGACTGGGGATATGATGTCTAATGTCCCCTGGATATATTGTGTTTGAAGAGGCTTCATTCACCTTCCTCAATCAGGACAGCTCAGGCCCAAGGTAAAATTTCAAAACTAAGTAGATTAACTCCCCAAGTTAGTCTAGTCTAACTTGGAAGTCTAGTGAGGAGGTTCACTGCTCTAGGTAGAGAGGGAAGACAGATGATGGAGGCAAACAAAGAGAGTGTATGTGGTGAGGGGGTAGACAGAGAATCAGGTTGGGCTTGGATGTTGTTAGCACTAAGGTGCCCTTAGTGGTGGAATTCTTGGTTTGCTCGTTTTGGGTCTTCAATCTGTGTGTGTGTGTGTGTGTGTGTGTGTGTGTGTGTGTGTGTGTGTGT